GAAGGAAGGAAGAAAGAAGGAAGAAAGGACTACCTACCCAAATAGGCCATTCTTCCTCTTCTACCTATAGTAGATAGATAGGTAGTAGGTAGGAAGATAAGGTAGGAAAGAAGGAAGGAAATTTCTTCTTAGCTCTAGTTTGGTTCTCTCCTTGATTAGTTTCCATCCATTGCTTCTTGTCTTGTGTATTTGAGAATCATTTAAGAGTTTGTTGTTTGGTTGGCATGAACTAGATTCGCATCTAGTTCAGTAGTCAATCTCAGAGAAATTTACATCTTAGTTTCCAAAGTTTTTTTGATACCCAATAATTTGATTTTTTTTAGTTTGAATACAAGTTATGGCTTTGTTTTTAACTCTGAGTGAATAAAGAAGGATTTCTGGCATCATGTTGCATTTCAGCAAATAGTGGCGCAAGACCTTTGTTGAAAGGTGAATAAAGTAATGGGATTTCTTTTGCTCCTTGTCAGTCTTGAAAGGGTGACTGACACATGAGGTGTTTTCTATGTTGTGCAATACTTCTGGTCACCTCTCCTTCCTGGTCTTAAAAAAAGTTTCACAGGAGCAATTACCTTGCATCATCTTTTGTGTGGATAAAATTGAAATGTAGGGTGCCATGGAAGCTGCCAACCTTCAAAAAGAAAATAGTACAGAGCCATGGTAGCACAATGGTTAGAGTGCAGTATTCTCCCAAATGTTCTTTTTGATTGTGAAAAAATATCTGTGAATAGTTAAAAAAATAAAATAAAGCCAGAATAGAATAAACTGGAGACACAAAACTAATTCCATCCTGTTATTTTAATGAAACCTGTTGCAAAGGGTGGGTTTTTACCTCCTGCAGTTAAAATACTTCTCAAAACTATCAGTGGGGAATGGGGCAATGCATGTATTTTTCTGGTTGCATGAGTTGGTGGGAGAAAAGGCAGATTCCTAAGCTAGTGATGGAAGAAACACAACACCCATCTTCAATTTGCTGCCTTGCTTTGGGCATCTCCTGGACTACCAATAATTGCCAAGTTTCATTTTACAGCACTAGAGCAGATTCCTATCTTGAGGATATGATGAGCAGCAAAGTTGGTTAAAGATCTACAAAGTTGTTTGTTCGGCAGACAAAATATCTCTCCACCCCACTTGCCTAGGGTATAGGATGAAAGTTGCTCTTTATCACGCAGATAGAGAAAATTCTAGGAGATTAGATTTTGAAGCTTTTGACCCAAAAATGTTGGCAACAGCATTTTTTTTTTCATTAGAGGTTAGGCCAATATTGATTTTGTTAATGCAATAAATTTACTCCCGGATACCAAATTCACACTTTTTGTGGGATGCCACAATGCATTAAACCATAAACTAATCAAAGTGGCTGAATTCGCACAACCAGCTAAGCCACAAAAATAATAAGTAAAGTTAACATTAACTTGGTTTTATTATGACAATAGCACTTAGACTTATATACTGCTTTACAGCCCCTCTCTAATCAGTGTACAGAGTCAGCCTATTATACAGAGTCAGTAATCTGGCCCTCATTTTATCCACCTTGGAAGGATAGAAGTCTGTCAACCTGGTGAATTTGAACTGCCAAATTGCAGGCAGTCAGCAGTCAGCAGAAGTAGCCTGCAGTACTGCACTCTAACTACTGTGCCACCATGGCTCATTATGTTGTGTTAATAACTCTGCTAGAGAACTGTACTTAGCCTGGTTAAACCTATTGTGAGAACATAACTTCTACCTTCCTCCTTAATTCAAGGCAACTTATTTGGAATTGATAATGCATGCCCTCTTTACAGCAATCCTGTGTGGTATATTGAATGAAAGAAAGAGAAATGAAAGACAGTTCAAAGATCAACCATTAAATGATCAGAAACTGGACTCAGATCTCCTACGTGCAACTAGTATTACCCTTTGAAGAATCCTGGCTTGTCAAAAGTTGACTGTCCAATTTATTCTAGTGATGATATCTACCAGCATTGCCTATTAATTCAGAATGAATTTTCAGAAATAAGAGTTTTCTGAATGAGTTTTCAGAAATAAGAGAAAAGACTTCACTTTCCATTCAAGCAGTGTTTTTCAGAATCTTTCATTGTAGACCAGAGTTTCTCAACCTTGACATCTTTAAGATGTGTGGACTTCAACTCCCGCAATTCTCCAGTCAGTACATTGGCTGGAGAATTCTGGGAGTTGAAGTCCGGACATAAAATTGCCAAGGTTGAGAAATATTGTCCTCAACCCCTGGTTCATGGTGTGGCACCAGTCCATGGCATCCCAGAAACTGAGCCATGCAAACAAGGGAAGTCCTATCCATGGAATGCAGGCAGTATGCAAAACCATGCTCCCTCTGGTCCATGGAAAAACCTCTCTCCAGGGAACCAGTTCCTGGTCTCCAAAAGGTTGGGGACCACTATTGTAAACCATAGGTGAGGAACAGTCATGTATACACTAGTAGTCAGTATTGAGTGAGGCGGTTGCTAGGCATGCAGTTAAGGATGGAAGGAGAGTGAGAGTCCATGTAATGAAGCATCTTTCTTTATTGCAGCTTTCCAAGATGTCCATGTGATGATTTTTGTGGGTTTTGGATTCCTCATGACCTTTCTTCAACGCTATGGCTTTGGAGCTGTTGGCTTCAACTTTCTCCTCGCTGCCTTTGGGATCCAGTGGGCTCTTCTGATGCAGGGCTGGCTCCATACCTTTGAGCATGGGAAGATACTCATTGGAGTGGAAAGGTAAGTTGGCATGCTTGGACATGGAAAGAAAGCATAGCAGGAGACAAGTCGAGCATGAAACTATAATGAAGATAGATTAAATTTGTGGCTTAGGAATGCAAAGATATGCACTAGGTGAGAGATAAGATGGATTCTGTTATTATTTATGGAGTCCAAAATAAATGTCCAGAACATCCAAAAACAGCATTTTAGAGAGAATGTGGAAGCATCGTCTGAGACACTCCATTTACTCTGAGGCACATTTGGAATTTAGGACCAAAGGCACATGTGGAATTTGGAGTGAATATACTGAGTGTGCTGACAAAATGGCTGCTATGATGTATATAGCAATAGCACTTAGACTTACATATCATTTCACAGTGCTTTACAGCCCTCTCTAAGTGGTTTACAGATTTAGCGTATTGCCCCCAACAATCTGGGTCCTCGTTTTCCCCACCTTGGAAGGATGGAAGGCTGAATCAACCTTGAGTCTGGTGAGATTCGAACTGCCAAATTGCAGGCAGCTAACAGCCAGTAGAAGTAGCCTGTAGTACTGCATTCTAACCACTGCGCCACGGAGGCTCTTATGTTATTAATAGTGAGCTAGTCTTTCAGGATGTTCTCTAGGGGACATTCTAGAGGACTTTGTAAGTCCAGAGGTGTCTCCTGCCAACAGATGAGATACTGGAGGCTGGTGATTTACTTTACAGCATGCAAGATTGCTGTTTGCAGTTTTTAAAAAACAGAAAATGGTCAAAGAGACAAAGAAAGTGCTAGGCACTAAGGGATATACCTTAAGGGATATTGGGGCCTGAAAGCTCATGTTGCCCTACCCTATTTCAAGCTAAGACCACTATTGTAAATTTTGCACATAGGATGATGAAAAATGTCTATCAGGTCAAAGCTTCTGGGTTACCCTGGGTGATAAATAGGAAGAGTTCCATTAGAATCTTTGTCAGTCACTTCAAAGCTAAACAAATCAATTTCTTCAATCCTCATTGCCCTTTCCCAATTTGCCTGAATACTTTCCAGCAAAAAAAAATAGAATAGAATTGTGACTTTCCGTGATTTAGAAATTCACCTTTTCTTGGAGCAACCTAATTGAATGACCTAAAAGTCTATGTTAGGGACAGGTCATAGTGGACAAAATCTACCCCTGTCACCCCCAAGGGTCAACCATGACTCCAAAGGCACATAATCAAACTTCATGTGTCATTTTTGTAGCTATGTCTCACTGCTGGCTCATGTGATCAACTACAATTCCAAGATGCTCATTGTTGTGTTGCTTCAGTAGACTTCTCTGACTTCCCCATCTCTTCCTTCTCCTCTCAGCCTGATTAATGCAGATTTCTGCGTGGGTTCTGTTTGTATCGCCTTTGGTGCCATTTTGGGCAAAGTCAGCCCCGTCCAGCTGCTCATTATGACACTGTTTCAAGTGACCCTCTTCTCCATCAATGAATATATCCTGCTTGATCTGCTCCATGTAAGGCTCTTCACCTTGGTTTCAAACATTCAGAGATGCTCCCCTGTCTTAATTTCAGTTTTTATGACAAAGTTGCTTTGTGTATTTGGTTATCACTTACCATCCTGAATAACTCTGTGCAGACACAAGACAAAGAGGACAATGGTTTAAGCTTAAGGGTATGTCTTACTGTAGTGGAATGTAATCTGGATTCCCATGAGGGAGGGGCTACATTCCAGAAAGCAAAGAGCTAATGAAGTTTGGAAAGTTTGATCAGAAGGAAGAGGTTTAAAGCAGCTCCTCCCTAGTGATTCTCACTTATAGGTCTAGAGATGAAGAACAATAAAGGAAGTAACTCCATCTATTGTTCTTGGTTCTTGGGACCTGACACAAACTTCCTTCAGCTCAAAGCCTACTCTAAGCTTTGCAGGGCTGGGCATGAGAGACACTTCTTTAAGCAAGCATCCTGATACTAGTCTATTTTGGGAACAAGAGATGGGTCAATCCTCCCGCACCAGAGATCATCTTCTAGCTCATTATAACACACTGACAGGAGGAAGAGGCTCAGAAATTTGAACTTGAATTTTGGCATGTCTTGCATTAGATGCATGCAGTTACTTGAAATCTTTTGTAATGAATTCATGACATAGTTTTTCTAAGGGATAAAACTTTGACAGAAGTTTTCTGCCCTTGGAGGTATATTCTTACAATTGAGAGAGAAAATCCTAACATCACACATGAAATATGTTCCAAAAGTAGATCACACCATGGTTTAATGGGGAAAATAAATTCATAATTTCTAAGGAGCAAAATAGATGCCTTCAATTCCTATAGGACTGCTTCCTGTTTTTTAAATGCTTTCTAAATAACCTCTAATTCCAATTTCAATATTAGTCTGTCTGCTCATGGTCCTTGGTGACTACAAAAATGGAGCCTGTCAGTGTGGCTTACTAGCTACATTTTTTACACCCATGTTATAATACATCTTTCCCCAAGTAAGTGCTCTCTAAGATACATTGCATAACAATTTCCAGAATTTCCCACCAGCATAACTTAGAAAGCAGGTGGGAATTTTGCAGTCCAAATGCATCTAGAAGTCTCCAGGTTGGGGAAATTGATTTAGCAACATTTGCTCAAACTACCTGCAGAACCTCCTAGATATCCAATAAGAAACTCACAACTATACATGCACCAGAAAAATATTTGCTAAGATTTCAGATTTTCTTCAGCTTTAAGAAGGGTGGCAAAAAGAAACAGGACTTTCTTGGTGATAGCTCTTCTGCTAAGAGATGCTTGCTTGGTTTCTACCATGTTACAGTCTTGGATGAAGACTGCTCTTTCAGGCTTCTAAAACATCAAGAGCTGTCATTTTATTTGCTATGCTTCACATTTCATTCCTGCAGTCCTTTTTGTGTTGTGTTCTTTCACTTGGATGTGTTTTGATTGTATTATTCTTGTATTTTATTATCCCTAAATAATAAGTGACTGTATCTTGCTTAATGCCCAGAGGTGATAACATGTTACTGGTCAAGGTAGACCATTATATTACAGTGCCCCTTCATATCCACTATGTGGATGAGAGGAGAGCCAAGTTAGGGAGGGAGCAGAGCCCATTGTTGGCTTCTTATCCATGGCCCACAAGGTGCAGGGCACAACTCTTATGGGCTTGGAATGTGGTTGCACAAGTAGGGCCCACTTTGATTGAACGTACATAAAAGCCCCTGAGAGGAACAGATTAACCATCAGATAAGGGGGCTGAATGAGATTGTGGCTTGAGGGTCTGAATGGGAAAGCAGATTTAAAATAATAAAACCAGCTTGTGGAATGCAGGGAGACCTCATTGACTTCAGCTCAACATGTTCTTCTTGCAAACAAAGGAGCATTTAATTTGCTAAATGTGTACAGTTCATCTTCTACTCTCATTCAGGCTGAAGGGACAAGAAGATTGAATAAATACAATATCCAAAATTATTCTTCCACCCCTTGTAAAACCAGAGATAAGGGTTGTGTCCTCTGAAGGGCAAAGTAGTTACAACTCCATTCTTGGGAGAAGAAATTGCATGTATCTTTTTTCAATGTTTCCTTTCTGTATTTTTTGAAATATTTTGTTTATCTCATTGTTCAGCCCGAAAGACTCCCAGGGTATCTTTCAGATAAGATAGTCCTTGACAGCTGGCTTACAATTTCAAAGATCTCTTAGCAAAGTAAAAGGAAGAGAGAAGGGAGGAAGGCCAACAGAAGTTATGATAGTACCCTAGTCCACACTATGGGTTGTGTAACTAAGCAACATGAAAAGTCTGCTACTTCTTCTTCCTCAAGACTCCAGTTTCTTACATTCTCAATACGGGTAGCAGTGAAGGGAGTTGTAGTCCAACACATTTCCTGAGTACAGATAAAGGAAAGTTAAATTAGAGATATCGTTGGGCTGAAGATCCAGAAGTCCACGTCTATGAAGATTCTCAATCATCTAAGTCATGGCTGTCCCAAAGGTGCTTTTCAAAAGCTAACAGGGCTTTCTTGAGTTTTTTTCCCTTGAAAACATTTTGCTTCTCATCCAAGAAGTTTCTTCAGTTCTGAACTTAATTGAAGAAGCTTCTTGCATGAGACACAAAACATTTTCAAGGGGAACCCCCCCCCCCCCAAAAAAAGTCCAGTTGCCCTTTGGAAAGCACCTTTTGGGACATCCAGAAATAGAATTTTCAGGTGCCCAAAGGCACAAATGTTCTGTTTAAATTGTTAAGCAACTGGGTTCAAGTCTCATTTGTGATATACTGATTCTCTATAGAATAAACCAACTACTTCTGGGTAGGCTTCAACCTCTTTTATATTGATTACTGCAGGTGAAAGATGCTGGAGGATCCATGACTATTCATACATTCGGTGCTTACTTTGGCCTAACTGTGACCTCTATTTTGTACCGGCCCAACCTTGACCAGACCAAAGACAAGCAGGAATCTGTTTACCATTCAGATCTTTTTGCCATGATTGGTGAGTTGTGGTTCCTCTCCCTGTTAGACTGGAGATACTTTGCTTTCTGAGACAAGAGGTTAGGAATAGTGAAAAAGAGGCTCAGGCTACTGATGAAGAGGTGTTTTCTCTATTTTTATTTCTGTTCAATGTAGCCCAAGTGAAGTACTTAAAGCGGAAAATATTGTGAAGGTATTGTGGACGTTGAGCCTTTAATCCATCAGGCACGAAGCTGCATGCTCATCACATCTCGGAAAGCAGGAAAAGATACGCTTGGCATGTCATTGTTTTGGAAATCTTGAAATCTCTTTTGATCCTTATGATCACATTGAAGGGAATGTAGAGTTTCTTGATGAGCTCTTTCTAAACTACCCATTTACTGATCAGCAAACCTCATTAAATTAGGGAGCTTGGTTTCCTGGTTCTGCTATCTCAACCTTGTTTTGGATGTTTTTAAAATGCATCCTGATATGCATAGAAGTATTTCTGTACAAGAATTCGGGTAAATATGCTGTTATGCAGATCAATATTACTGACTGATTAGTAAGTTATTTTTCCTGCCCTGTCTTTAGTTCGGCTAGAGAGCTTTTCAGGGGGCTTACATTCATCCCTCATGCTTTATCCAGAAGAGTGAGCTGCCTGCAATTTTTGGTCTGTCCTTATAAAAAAGCCAGTTCTTAACTACCATTGCAGGAACCTTATTTCTGTGGATGTACTGGCCCAGCTTTAACTCAGCCATTTCCAATCATGGAGATGCACAGCACCGAGCGGCCATCAACACCTATTGTTCACTTGCTGCTTGTGTCCTCACTTCTGTGGCCTTCTCTAGCCTCTTGCAAAAGAAGGGAAGGTTGAACATGGTGAGTAAAGTCAGGCAAGATGTCATGCCTTTCTCTTATCTTTTGCAAAGTTTCATGGAACCCTCTATTACAGGTGTGTGTTTATGGGTGTAGGGCTGCTTATGTATCTACTTGCCTACCTGCTTGCCTGCCAATCAATCAATCAATCATTAAAAATGGTGTCATGGCTTTCTATTACCTTGTACTAAGTTTCATGGAACCCCCACCAAAGGGGGGGCGGTGTTTTCTTTCTTTCTTCCTTTCTTTCTTTCTTTTCCTTTCTTCCTTTCTTTCTCTCTTCCTTCCTTCCTTCTTCTCCTTCCTTTCTTTTTCTTTTTTCTTTTCCTTCCTTTCTCTCTCTCTCTTCCTTTCTTTCTTTCCTTCTCTTCCTTCCTTCCTTTCTCTCTCTCTTCTTTCTTTCTTTCTTTCTTTCTTTCTTTCTTTCTTTCTTTCTTTCTTTCTTT